TTTTTTTTTTGATCTTTCGCACTGACTGCACTCGTGGCGAGGCTTCGGGTGCCACCTGAGTGGAAACAAGAAAACGACGGCCTGTTTACGTCCATCTGCTGGCAGCAGGTCCAGCATAAGGGGCGGCACCTACTTGAAGCAACAAATGTCCCGTATTTTTTCCCATTCACTGCAGGCTCGGCAAAAATCGGCGCGCAGGGCATATTCAGGCTCGGCTTCAATAGCTGGGCCAAGTACTGGTGGTTTAATGGGCCTGTCTTTCTTATTTACTTTGTCGTCCAAGCTTACGTTTCCGGAAAAAATGTCAGCTTACGAATGTGGTTTTTATCGCGAGTGTAAGGTCACCTATACTTAGCAAAGTGTGTGACTGAACTTCACACTAGGGCCATATGGCTTACTGTAGGATGGTGTATACAGTGTACTGCACACTATAGACTGTATACTCTAATAGACTGTAATATGTATGCACTATGTGTACACTGTATATGTGGTCTTTACGCAGTCTGTTTATAGTATACAAAGTTAACGAACAACAAATAGTCGATACAGAGTCTAAGAGTCTTAGTCTATTTATAGGATACAAAGTTGCAAACAACATATAGCCAATACAGAGTCTAAGAGTGTATGCGTGGTCTTTAGATAGTCTACACATAGTCTCGAACAACAAACAAAACCTATACATAGACTACGAACAACAAACACAGCTAATCCAACCCTTAATTACTAGTTTACAGACAACAAACATAACTATTCATAGTCTACAAACAATAAACACACCTAATCTATCCCTTAACCAACATGCGTCCTATTATAAACCGAGTCGCAAGATGCGAAGAAGCACACAAAAGGTCACAATGTATATCTATACGGCACCGTCTCCAACCCTAGCATGCCTCCCCAGCTCCATCAGGAGCATAAGCACAACCAAGATTGCGACCAGAGCTTGCTGCCGTGACGGATCATCACCTCGCACCAACTGGCTGCCAGACCTGACATTCAATCGATAACATCATGGAAGTGGACCCTCCTTTGTGTCACCGTGCCAGAAGAAGACCATATGCACCCTCCCCCTTTATGGAAACACCTTCCTCCTACAAGCATGCGACCTCCACGCATCCTCATCCACAAGTCGACCCGCCATTGCTAGCCTGGGCCTGGCTGCTTATGCCATGGTTGACCAAACCCGGTTGCACCCTTCTCCAGTCCTATGTACAAATACCCTTTGTGGTGTCAGCGCAATGCGCTGGAAAAGCGGCAGCCTGCACCATTCCTGTGCTGGCTGTGCGTATGCCGCCTCCTACGTTAGGGCCGGTCAGGCTGCTTCTCCATGAGCCTTGTAGTCAACCTCTATGTATCAGTCCACGCTGACATCTACCTACCGTCTTCACCCGAATAGAACGCCCGGTCATTATCACTGCATCTGGACTGAAAGTTGGGCCAAATGCAGCTATAATGACCGGGCGTACTATTCGGGTGAAGACGGTAGTCTAGGACCTGTTGGGAGATGGAGACATCAACTGTGGTTGACACACCACCCACTGCACATACAGGAAAGAACTGAAACTGGCAGATGCCTGCAGAGTGCTGGGCGCAGCACTAGAATCCCGCAACAGGAGCATGGCTCGACTACCTTCAGCACTCAAGCTGGTGGATCGTCTAGCTTTGTGGAGCTAGAAGAATGAGGATGAACACTCTGCTACACAGGAGAGGTGCCCTCCCTCCACTTTGCGGTGGTGAAACAGCCTCAGTGATTGGTGCCGACTGGATCATGCCCATGGGCCACCCTCTCGAGCTTCTCGGATATTCTTGGATATACTACACCCCCAGGCCCCTCCTCTGCTCTGGGACCAACCCTCACGCAAACCCTATCGCTGGACTGCTCCCCTGAGGCGCCGGCTCGCTGGATAGAGCCCGCAATGTCTCCATGGACATCTGTGCCTTTTACTCCCTGCACACATGCCAGTCTCTTGTCCAGAAATGTCCTCAACTAGAGCTGCAGAGGGTAAGGGAATCTCCAGTCCATGCATGTACGGACCGGCTCGATAGGACCTGATGGTGGGGGTCTGGGTCATCATCCTGGAGTAACCCCTCGACGTCCATGTGGAACCTCCCTTGGACACCTGCACTGTCAGTGTGTGCCTGGTCGCCCACCAGCTCACCAAAGTCCCCCCTCCTGCCTCACCCTCCACCCCTACAGGGTGCCCCCGATCTCTGTCACACCCATCCCCCACGTCCCAGTCAGCCAAAAGCATGGTACGGCACCTCCCCCTCCTCCGTAGGAGCATCCACCACGACCTGGGCAGTGATCGCCTGCTTCGGCGTGGATTGCTCCGGTACTGGTGTACTGTCCTCCCTGTGCGTCCACAGGCACATGGTACACCTGTAGTAATGGGGGACAAATTATCTGTCACCCTACTACACGTAATACACACGTTCAACGTCACTGACGCGGGGCAACTCTCTCTCTCTCTCTCTCTCTCTCTCTCTCTCTCTCTCTCACACACACACACACACACACACACACACACACACACACACACACACACACNCACACACACACACACACACACACACACACACACACACACACACACACGCACGCACACACACACAAGCTGTCATAGAAACTATGTGTCTTTACTGCATGGACTATCCTGGGGCCATCACCCTCCACATCCTCCCCTAGCATGTCCCACATGCAGTGTTGGTCATACACCTACGGCAACCGCTGACGGATCTCCCTCTTTCTTCCCAGACGAACGACGAACACAGCAGTCTGAGGAGGAAAATGGACTTCTATATGAACCACCGGCAGAGTGATGTGCTCATAGTTTATCACCACCAGGGCGAGCTGTTGCGGATCATATCCTGCAGCAGCTGAACACCCTTGCGTTGGACCGATCCTCCCTGTCGTCATCTGCCCATAGAGAAGGAATACATACTGAGGAAGCCCAATAAAGATGCTCCATGCCGTTTTGTGATGGCCCGCTGGAGATTCAACTAGCATGTGGTTCGCATGCCGTGTGCCGTGAGGATTATGAATGGATAGTCCATGCGAGTTTTTGCTTCCATACGTACGATGACAGTCAGTACTGTACTCATGTACGGCACCCCGACATGTCATGTCCAACCTGTAGACAGGGGCTGGAACGGCAATGCCTCTATAATTGCGGTCAACATGCCTCTGTGTTCGTAGCATGTACGAGCCACACATCCTGTGACATCTGTCTGCGCCGTGCCATTCGATGCAGCAACTGTGACTGCGAAAATTTTGGTTGCGGTGCTTCCATAGCCCACACCCGAACCGGTCCTGTCCGGTCTGTAGGGGTGGCCACTCGCCATAGATTTTTTTTGCTAGTCTGTTTCAGCGGTGAATATTTAGAAATCTGTGGAGCTCGTCATACACCTCTCCCCTGCTCTTTGCATGTCATACTCTATCCTGCCCTCCACATATTTCTTTTCTTCCCGTTGCCCTTACCTCCCCTGCCCCATACTCCTATAGAACTCCGYSTTCTATCCCTTACCCTCCACCCTCCCCTCCACTCCCTTTGTGCTACTAACAAATACATACGAATGAGCATCATTAAGAGAACAGACGATATGAAGATCAGAAATGAAATGAACGAAAGTATGAAGATGAAGGACGGACACAAAGACTGTATAAGCTGAAGATCTAAAGTGAAATGAACAGGACTATGAAGCTCTGAAGAGAAATGCACAGGAACATACCTTCCCTTTTACTCTGCCTCCTGAAATAACGTGCAAGTGGGACGTGAAGGCACACAGGGATGTGGGCAGCTGCCGCCTTGTGCGTAAGAGGCACAGTAAAAGGGGAGCTGCAAGAACAATGAAAGGGGTACCCCAAGGACGACCAAAAAACTGTCTAATTATAAAATTGCTTTAATATGTTGGATGCTTGCTTTAATATGTTGGATGCTCTCGTTGTCTGCAATAGGACAAAGCCTGCTTTGATTCTGAATCTATTCATCTGGGTGGAATTGGGGCTGTTGTGGGGAAAATCTAACACACACACACACACACACACACACACACACACA